CTCAAAAGAGGGAACAAATCTTTACAGCGAGGATCATTCCCACCCCCTCCATACACAGAGTAGATAGGGATGGGCAACTTGGACATTGGCTACCCAAAATGGTGGGTGGGGGGTGGGGGTTGCAAAGGCAAGAAGTGACTGGCTTACAAGCTTTCAAGAGGGAGCCTAGATCCAGAGGGCATGGAGCAAGGTACAATCTCTACTGACTAGTATCCAATCTGTCTGGGCTGGGCTGATGAAAGGAGATGCGGATAGGTTTCTTGTGATTCAAGATGGAAGAAGATGGAAGGAATGAATGTGCAGTCACTATACAAAAAAGAATTGGTCACTGTTCAAACATTTCAAGAGGTATTATATATTCAAGAGTTGATGGCATTGAAGGAAGAAGTCCAAGCTGCATTGAAGGCATCCGGAAAACAAAACTCCTGGAATTGGTGAAATACAAATTAAAATGTTTCAACAAACTGAAGCAGAGCAGGAGGCCCTCACTCACCTAGGCCAAGAAATTGGAAGACAGCTACCTGGCCAACTTATTGGAAGAGATTCATATTTGTGTCCATTCCAGCAAAAGGTGATCCAACAGAATGCAGAGATCATCTAATAATATCATATTATCACATGTAAATGGAGTTCTGATGTGGCGCTCTTTGTTAATGTGCCAGACTGTGAAACTGTTTGAACAACAAGGTCGGAGGTTCAAGCTCACCAGCTGCTCCTTGGAAACCACATACAGTGTTGCTATGTGTCAGAATCAACTCAACAGCACTTAGCAACACAACAACAACATCACATGCAAATAAAAGTTTGCTGAAGAAAATTCAAAAAGTTGTAGCAGTTTATAGACAGGAAGCTACCAGAAAATCAAGCCTAATTCAGAAGAGGAAGTAGAACAGGGATATCATGTTTATGTCAGATGACTCTTGTCTAAAAGTATAGAGCACCATAAGATGTTTATTGGTGATTTACTAACAATGAAAAGGCATTCAGCTATGTGGATTATGACGAACTATGTGTAACATTGCAAAGAATGGGAATTCCAGAATACTTCACTGTGCTCATGAAGAACCTGTATGTGGATGAGGAGGTAATTATTCAGACAAAACAAGGAGATAATGAACAGCTTAAAATCAGGAGAGGTGTGCATCAGAGTTGTATTCTTTCACTACACTCATTCAAACTGACTGCTGAACAAACAATCTGAGAAGCTGAATGAGGAAGAACTTGGCATTAGGCTTGGAGGAAGGCTGGTTAACAAATTTGCTTGCTGTAAGCAAAACAGGAAGGAGCTCTGGTAGTGTAGTGGTTACGAATATGGCTGCAAACTGAAAGGTCAGCAGTTCGAAACTGCCAGCTCTCTTGTGGGAGAAAGATGAGGCTTTCTGCTCCCGTAAAGATTTATGGCCTTGGAAATCCTGTACAGGGTCGCTATGAGTTGGAACCGACTCCATGGCACATAACAACAACAACAAAGCAAAACAGGATTGAATTACCTACTGGTGAAGATCAAAGATGATACAGCCTTCAGTATTGCACCTCAGTGTAAAGAAAAGAAAAATCCTCACAGCTGGATCATTAAATAACATAATGATAAACAGAGCAAAGAATGAAGTTGTCAAAGTCTTCCTTTTGCTTGGATCCACAATCAAGGCTCATGGAAGCTGTAGTCAATAAATCAAATGATGCATTGCATTAACCTAAGAGCAAAGATAGTACTTTGAGGACTAAGGTACATTTGACCTTGACCCAAGCAATGGTAGTTTCAATCACCTCATCATGTGCATGTGAAAGCTGGTTAATGAATACAAAAGATAATAGAAGAATCTATGCATTTGAATTATGGTGTTGGAGAAGACTATTGAACATACCATGGATTGTCAGAAGAGCAAACAAATCTGTCTTGGAAGAAATACAGTTCAATTGTTCCTTAGAAGTCAGAGTGGCAAGACTTCATCTCATGTACATTGGGGATGTTATCAGGAGGACCAGTCCCTGGAGAAGAATATCATACTTGGCAATGCAGACAGTCGGTGAAAAAGAGGAAGATCTTCAGTGAGATGAATTGACACAGTGGCAGCAACAATGAGCTCAAACATAACAACTGTGAGGAGGATGTAGGACTGGACAGTGTTTTGCTGGCATTGTGCATAGAGTCGCTATGAGTTGGGTCTGCCTCTACAGCACCTAACAACAATAAAAACATGTAAAGAAGTAAAGAGAAGAGTTAAATTCTGAACAAATATTGATTGAGACTTGGTATGGTAATGTAGGATAAGCACTGGACCACAAGTTCGATTTGAACCACAATTCAAACCACCAGCCACTACTTGGAAACTGTATACAGGGTAGCTATGGCTTGGGACCAGGACCGACTCAACAACCCTTAACAACAACGGTAACAGCAAAGGCACATGTTGGCTCTGTAGGATAAGCACTGGACTGCTAACCACAAGGTTGAGGGATCAAGAAAGGTTTTCCTGAAAAGGTGATTTTTAATTTTCAGTCTGAAGAATGATGCTATTGCTACTGTAACAAATTACCACAAATTAAGCAGCTTAAATAAAACAAATCTATTATCTTACTGGTTTGTAGGTTAGAATTCCAAAATGGGCTAAAGTCAAGATATGAGCCGAGCTGCACACCTTTCTGATAGCTCTAGGAGAGAATCTGTTGTCTTTTCCAGCTTCTAGATGTCACCCACATTCCTTTCTCACATTGCATCTTTCTGTGGTGCTCTGTTATCACATCATCTTCTGTCTGATTCCTCTCTTCTACTTCTCTCTTCTATTTTTAAGAAGGCTTCTGGTTATATTGGGTTTATCTCTTACAGTCAGCTGATTGATCAACTTAATTCTATTGAGAAGCATAATTTTCCTTTGGCCTAGCTGCTTCATAGGCTCTGGGGAGATGAATATGATGTGTTTTTGGTGTGTGTGTGTGGGGGGGGGGCGTGGGTGGGTGCATTATTTCACCTACCACAAATCATAAGAACTTAACAGGGTTAAAAGAAGGATAAGAACTTCCAAGATGTGTCATTATATAAACAAACAGGTCATTCAAAAAGATTCACAAACGGCAGAGTTACTTGAATAAGAAAGTTTGAAAGAGTGGGGCTCACGAAGTGGGTGGTAATTAGTAGATGTAGATGTACTCTACAGGAGATATAAACTTTCAAAGAAACTAATGATAATTACAATTTTGGCAGAAGAGAGAAATCTGAAAATAATATGCTGGAATCATATCAAGACAGACGTTGTTGTTGTTAAGTGCCATCAAGTTGGTTCTGATTCCCATCAACCCTGTATGGGGTTTCCAAGGAGCAGCTGGTGAATTTGAACCACCGATCTTGTAGTTCAAAATGGCCGTGCAGTCGTGTGCTTACCCTGCAGCGCCACACCAGACTCCATTAAGGCAGATATACCCCGGAAATGCATGCTGACATATCCAGCCTATTTTAAAGTGGATACTTTGTCTCTTAATAATGATTTGTGTATTTCTGGAAATGTTTGGAGTTATAATTCCTAGATTTCTTCCAGAAATACTAATAGAAGAAATGTCAGTATTTTTTAAATGCATTATACCTGGTGAGCTTTTAGTAAGAGGAAGAAACGTTTCTATGTTATCTTCTCTTAGCCAGGGAAACTAGTTTTAGCTATTTGATAAGTTAATAACTCTAAAAGTTTAATTTGCCATTACCAGCTAATGTTACATAGAAAAATTTCAATGCAGAAATTTTTTTTTTCTGGCATCTGAAATGTCCTGATAAATACTGAAATTATAATTTATCATTATCAGCAACTGTTACATGGAAAAGTGCAATGCAGAAATACTATTTTTTCTGGCCACTAAAATGTCCTGATAGTTACTCAGAAGGCCCATTATTTAGTAAAATAATTAGTCTATTTTGCTGTTGGGAAATTTTATGAGGGTCTATTGTTCTGGACCTAAATACAAGTGACTGTACTATGTAGAAGCCTTTAAGCAGCCTGAAACTAACATTACTTGTAATGTTTTCATGTAAGTAAAAAAGGTCCATTTTTCTGGGATGGGAGACCATAGCTTTAATCAAATAATCATTTAACTTTAAAAAGTGTTAAGAATACCATCCTAGAGAAAATCCTTTGTCTCTCTTAATTCTCTGCCCTGGGACTGATTGATCTTGGAAGTTAGTATGCTGTTGTTGTTAAAATGCCATCCTTGTACAGGGTTTTCAAAGAGTGGCTGGTGGATTTGGACCACCC